TTCGAGTTATTCACTTGTAGCGGACTGTTTTGTGGATTGTTTTGTGTTTCTATTGGGCTGCGTATTTTACTACTATTTTGTGGAGTTTTGGAGGTGGAAGGGTATGGATAAATACCATATATATGTAGGGTTGTGGGCTGATAGTTATTCATAATATTTTCGGGTCGTTTGACACGACTACGGTGGTCGTCGTATGTATGATGTAATTAGGTTGTGCGTGGACTGTTTTGGGAGGCTCAATATGTTTATTATTGATGTTGTTTGGGCTGTCACCACTATATTTGAACAAATAAAAGGAAAATAATTGGACCTAAGCATAGACAAAATATTAGAAGTACCAACAATAAAGAATTGGTTTAAAAGAGAAAAAGAAGAATACTATGTAGTAAGCCAAAGAGAACATATAATAGACTGTAAATATATTAAAGGTAAAGCAAGAATACCAATTTTAAATAAAAAACTACTAAATAAAGAAATACAAGATATAAAAGCAAAAAACCCAATAAAATACGTACATTTAGGAGGAACAGAGAATAAAAGCATGTTTTAGAGAGGGAATAGATACCCCTATAGAAATATACTTGGCAGATGATAGAATTGTACAACCTATAGAAAAGAGTATAATAAGTGCAGTAATAGGTAACTTAATCTACCAAAAATTTAAATTCATAATAAGTGCTAACTATTCAGTAGCAATAGATGATAAAAATATAGACAAATCATTAGTACTATACTGGAAAATGTCTGGAATAGAACTAGCACCAGGAAGTAAGATATTCACAGCAAGATGTAAAAATCTATATGTCTTAACAACAAAACATAACATAACAGCTAAAAATAAAATAAATAAATTAAAAATAGAAAATCCATTCGAAAGAATAGTATTAGTTATAGACAACAATGATTATAGTTATAAGGAAATGGATATAGAAGAAGATTTAGAAATAGTAAAAGAAAGATTAAGCACGTTAAAACGAACAAGTAATGAAATACCAGAGACATCATCAAGAATAAGTACATCAAGAAGAATAGATTACATAACTCCACAAAAATTAATAGAACAAAAAATAGAAGAAATAAACTCACACCATTATTATATAACAGGAATAATGGACCAAAAAAAATATTTAATATTAATAAATACAGGGCAAGAAGAGAATTATGTTATAAGAGAATTAATACCAGAATAAGAGATAGTGACAATAGAACAGCAAAATTCAGAGTTACCAAAAGCATTAAGAAAAAATGAAGAAACAACTAAAAAGGAATTAATTATTGGAGGAATACCAATATTAATAAATTTTAAAATATATCAAGGAGATAAAAACATTACACTAGGAATAAAATGGTTAGAAAAAGTCAAACCATATAAATTAGAA